CCCAAACATAATTGGTAATACATGCAAATTAACATGAATTGTTGTAGAAATGAACTGTCGACGAAATGAACTGTCGATGAAATAATTTTCGACGAAATGAACTTTCGACGAAACAAACTTTCGACAAAATGAACTTTCGACAAAATAAACTTTCGACAAAATGAACTTTCGACGAATGATTGTCGACGAAATGAATCAGACCCAATTTTACACGTAATCTTATAATTTCGATTAGTAATATTCCTTTTTCTGATTATGATAATGATATATATGACGAAGCTAAATTATTACAAAAATTCGAATTACCTTTTTTTTTCAAAAAAATGCAATTAATTTATATTGCAGACAGTAGCTTGATAGAAACATGCCCCGATTTGGGATGCAGTTGTATGATAATAATAAACAAATATTAATAACAGGGCCCAATTTGAAAGTTTTGTATTTCGAAAAGTCCACATTGCTTGAGCCATTATCTAAAAGCAATAAGCGTCACGAAAAAATTATTAGAAGAATGTGATAGTCATGTGAACATACAGCTGAACAATTTATATGTTGTTCATTCTGATGACGAGGACGAAACTTTGCTTTAAAAATCCATGTCAATCAATGGACAAGCATGTTAATAGATAATATTATTAGATTTAATGTTGCTGCTTATGAATAATAAATATATAGTACTTGATTCAGCTCTTATTAGCTGTAGAATTAAAATTGGTGACAATTCTTTCTCTTGGATTTAATTAGTAGAATTCGCTTGTACACTGAAAGTTTCTTTACACACAAACTTCTTAATTAAAAAAAAAAAAATGATGCATACATAACATTTCTTGAGGATTCCAGGATTTTCATTGATTGTGTGTGCGGAGAATATTAAGCTACCAGCAAGTTCATGAAAGTCCAACTATCTTATTATTATGAAATTTCCTTGAATAGTATGTTTCGACACTTCTTCAAGAACACTTTTATTCAATTTTTTTTTAAAAATTATAAATAGGTAAGGAGGTTATTGTTCATGGAACTTTTTTATTAATATTGCAACCGATTTTACTAGTAATTTTCATCTTTATGTGTCAGCGTCCAACAATTGTTCTTGTTTTGGAAGCAACCATTCAATTTTACTACAAATTACCTGTACAAGGTTTTCTATTTTGAATAATTCGCCAGCGGATGTGAAAATAACTAGGATAAGAGCTAACGTTAAATTTGTCACGGACACACAGGTTCTTAATATTAACTTGAGGATTCGAATGGGTTGTAAGTCGATTATCATCATTATCAGCAGTTGGCACTCCAAGTTCTTCGCTTACTGTATTACAATTACAGTATACCAATATGTAAAATATATACATATTAATAATGGAGCCGATTATAATTGCGTATTTACGGCAACCGAAATTATTTGCGTAATAGCAATAGTGATATAGTAATAGTAGACTTTTTTCCAGTAATTTCATAATTCATAAATAATTATGGAGCCAGTTATAGATAGACAAGAGCCATCATTCTATGGGATTTCTATTTGTTGGGCCCTGGAAACCTTTAAAATTACCCCATAACTTGATGAGTATATTATTTAATTTTAATCTTAAGCCTATATATATATATATTAAAAGTAATTTTACAAAAAAAAAAAAAAAAGGAATAACCAAAAAATAAAAAAAAATAAAAATAATTAAAAAATTTTTAAAAATCTAAAAAAATAAAGAATCATATCTTCTTCGGACCAGCGAATGGCTTTAGAATAACTAAAATCATTAACTAACTAATTAATCTTACCAAACCAATCTATTGAAATTTCAATCTCTTATTTTTTTCTTCTTTATCATCACTCCGCACATCATGATTATCATTACCCCTCTTTTCACCTTTCATATTCTCCTCTCTATAGACAGAAAGATAACTAAAAACATCTGTATCAGTGGTGGTGTACTCAATAGTACTTTTCCTGAAACCGTTAAATTTAGAAGCAGCGCAGACCGTATACGCGCCCATCTCTTCAAAATACAACCAATCACCCTGTACTAATTTTGGTAGATTTCCTTTTTTCTTAACACAATCAATTGAATCACATGTTGGTCCCCATATGCTACAATCGAAGTGAGGTTCCTCACTAAAATCCTTACCAAACACAAAAACTTTATCTTTCACCAATACCTTTGGTTGAACATCTTGATGATCATACATGATACAATTGAATGCTCCGTAAACCCCATCATTTATATAATCTTTATTATTTTTTTTTTGACACAATATTTCACATAATAAATATGTATAAATATAATAGAAATAAAATTTAGTTAATAAATGTAGTGTTAATAAAAAAAAATATATATATAAATATATAATTGTTTTACTTACACATATACTTAATGGGAGAATTACTCACGGATGATGATGAATCTTTGAACACATTATTCGTGCTTTGACTTTTTTGCTCCTTTTTATCATTTTGTTCGTATTCATGATCATTATTACCATTAACATTAGGTTCACTATTACCATTAACATTAGGCTTACTATTACCATTAACATTAGGCTCACTATTACCATTAACATTAGGCTTACTATTACCATTAACATTAGGTTCGCTATTACCATTAACATTAGGTTCGCTATTACCATTAACATTAGGTTCGCTATTACCATTAACATTATGACTATTATCAACATTATCATTTTTATCGACACTTTGATTTCCAGTGATAGCTCTTCTTGCAATAATATGAGTAGCAATTGTGAAAGCTGCTGCGACGTAATAACGACCAGGTTCTGCGATTATACGCACATTAGTTTCTACAGGGAAATGTCTATCGATTGCAGATGAAAGAGCTTTTGCAATTTTTTCAAATGTGATGCAGTTATCATCATTGGTATTTTTGATGCTATTATGATCACTATTATTATAATCGTCGCTACTAACACTTTGATGAACGTGAGAAAATCCACCGCCAACATCAAGTAAAGTGAAATTAAATCCATAATTTAAAGCTTTATCAAATACATATTTTGCACGATAGACTGCATCAACAAACGCATTCTCGTCGTAACAACCACTGCCAACATGAAAACTAATAAATTTAAAAACGAACAAATATAACAAATGTGATAAAAGAATGAACGAATGAATATATGTAAATATTTTTTATCTAATTAATTATATTAGAATGCATAGATACCTGACACCAATAACATTCAAATCTAGGTCTTTAGCAGTTTGTAATAGCAACTCAACAGAGTCTAATGATGCACCAAATTTCAACCCCAATTTACATAATGATTTTGAATCATCAGTAAGAATACGTAACACCAATTGAGCATCAGGGAAAAAATTTTTGATTTTGTACAATTCCTCAACATTATCAAAAGTCATCATTTTCACTTTATGTTCAGAAGCAAATCTGATAAAAGAAGCTTGTTTACATGGATTTGCGTAAATAATTCTTGATGGGTCTACTCCCAAATCTAAAATTGTTTGAATTTCAGATTTACTAGCACAATCAAAGCCTGTACCTAGAGCCGATAAAAGTTTTAGAACTAAAAGGTCCGGATTACATTTAACAGCTAATAATAACAACAACAATAATAAAATAAAAATAAAAATAACAAAAATAAAAATAAAAATAAAATAACAATTAGCAACAACATTAGAACAAGAAAGAATTAAAATTAATTATTTAACATTTACCATAAAAAGGTTCAATACGAGGTAATAGTTTCTTCCAACAAATATGCTGATGATAAATTTCACCAAGATCAGCAACGAAAAAAGCATTTTCATTTTCTGCTTCAGAGTCATTATTATTAATATCGCGTGAAGAAATAATTTTTTTTAAAACATCTTTAACTGGCAACTCGTTGATATGTGGAATATCAATATTTTTACGCTGAATTTTATTAACACTATTATTAAAGTTCTTAAAATCATTTTTTTGGTTTTGTAATTGTTGTGACTGCTGCTGTCTTTGCTCTATTTCACATTGAGTTATAGTTTCAACAGATTCTTTCATCTCCCGTACCGGACCCAGATTTATCCGGCAAAGAATACGTTCATGCAAGGAATAAATGTTAAAATTAGTTTTCGATCCTATTGTAAAAAAGAATAGTTACAATAAATATTAATATTAATATTTAGGACATTGTAAAAGTTACACAGATTTGACTGATGGGATGAATGGATGATGATGGATGTTAAATATTAATATACATGTAAAAAAATTTTACGCCACAGGTTTTGTACAACCCTAAAAACTCTTCATTTGGCGGGTTCTCTAGCAAAAACCGGTTCCGAGGTCCACTGATCAAATTTAAAGTTTATTGATGTTAATATATAAGTTTATATTAATAATATAAAAATTTAACATTCTCAGTGTTGAAATTTCGTTGTATATAAATTTAGAAACCATATTCTGAAATTCAAAAATTTTGATTGGCATGTAACGTTACACACAAATCCCCCACACTGAATTTCGACAACTTTGCAGAGATCATCTCTCGAAAAATTTATTGTGTTTCTCAAACCCTCTCTAAATATTAAAAATTTTTAACATTACAAAAATATTAAAAGGAAAATTAAATCGTATAACAAACTCGCAGGTGCTAATATAAAAATAAACATCATTCATTATTATTTTTATTCTTATAAATTTCCTTTAAAGAAATTTTGACTTGCGCAAGACGTTTTAGTGACCCAAGATGACTTTAAACACAAAAACTTTTACTTCAAGAATTAATTGAAGCGAGAGGTTATAAAAGTAATCTTCTACCCGAAATTTGATTATGCATTGAGGACTACTAAATGATATTATGTTAGACCACACTGCAATTACGCTTGGAAAGGTCTTCCTTCCCAAATGCCTTTGATCCCATACCAATGAAACAGACCATTACTACATGGATTACTATAGAAAAGGATTTAACTTTATTGCAAGCTAGATATGTAACTAAAAAGTATAAGCCTAAAGAAATTCGGGTTCAAATTGTTTCGGTTTTATCCGAAGAAAAGTATACGAGAGCATTTTTATAATACAAAATTTTTAAAAAAATGTAATCTTGATTTTCTTAATCACTATTATTATTTACAGTTTCGGGTTTTTTTAACTGAGAATTTATATGATGTTAGAAACACAACAAATACATTTTATGAAAACTTAAGCTACAAACTGATGTGAATTTTATTTATTTTCTTTATATATAAAATTTTGTATAATTATAATGATCAAAAGAGTACTTTCTCTCAAAACAACTTGTAAAAGTCTACTAATTTAAAAAAGTTAATTTAAATAATTTAAAGCTTTTGTTTTACAAGTTAAAAATTGCCTCATTTATACGTTATGAACCTAGATAATAACTACAGCTCGAATATGATGTGATTTTGGTTATTTACGCGTTTTTACACACATCGTTAACTCTAAAATCAAAAAGGCCAGTGCGATAACCAATATCGTATGTTAAATGTTGTTCTATTTCTAATCTTAAAAATGCATTATATTATTTTTTTTATCGACGTAATCTTGTTGTGACATTTATTAATTTAAAATTGATTAAAATATATAATACATATAATAAAATTTAAATTGTTTACAATACACAACTCCCCTCCCCGTTTTACCATAGAATGGTCCTCCTTTTTTAATTAAAGAATTAAGCTACTGCACCCCATTTATTTGACTATGTAAAACATCTTGTCAAGATGCGTATATTTTCTCATTGGCTTCCTTTTTTAATCCAAGAATCTACCCAACTTATCCAACTTAAAGTTGAGAGAGATGTTTCATTATTAGTGTTATTGGGATCGAGATCTTTCTCTTTTTTTTCTTCCTTTTTTTTTCCTTTTATTATATTATTCTCTCTATTTTCATTTGTTTAGTGATGTTTTCCTTGATTTCTTCTTGAATTACCAACTCACACCTAGGTTTCCAAATATCTTATATATGTTGTGATAATTGTTTCAATTATTATATTAGTGATGTTGGTTGTGGATTTTGTTACACTGTATAATTTTATAAATAAATACATTATATAATTTTATTATTGACTCCTATTCGTGACGTCATAATTACAGGATCTTAACTAATCTATAACGTTATTATAGTAATAGTGAATGAACCATCAATGATTTCGATTATGTCATATCCGTGAAAATAACGGTTAGGTTACACATAAATATTATAAGTGGACTGCACGATTTTATTTTACAAATTGACTTTCGGCTCAAACCGGTTTAATAAAATCCCATAGATAAAGTTGATATCATCGATTGCCATTTTTAAAAGTGTTATTAATATTATTGAATTTCAAAAGGTTACACAAAAGATATTTTTATAGTATATAAAATTTTAATATGGGGGATTGAAGGGATTGGATAATTTTTTAACAGGTAGGGAATCACGTGGTAAATTAATATGGTGCACGTCATCTAAAGACGACACCAAAATTGACGATCTTTGAAAACCAATAACCTCAAAATTAGGGAATTTAGAAAAAAAAAGTAAACCGATAGAATTAAAGCTAAGACCTAAGGTCCATTTCTATCGGTTTATTTTTTTCATTATCATAAAAATTTGTGGAGTTATTGTGGTTCAAAAATTGAAGCTTTTTATATATGTCCGAAATTTTAAAAATTCACATATTAATATATATAGACAGACGCCAATTTATTTTTAATCATTCTGATTTGTTGTACGACCACGTGGTAATATTGTTGGAACGCGCGATTTTAAAATTTTATTCCCCTTAAACTATTACATTTTTAAATAATGGAAATATAGTTGATTAAATAAATTTGTAATTTTATCATATCCTCATATGGGTCGTATTTGGCAGAATATGCAGTTCAAAAATATAAATCACATAGACGAATACCTCAGTCTATATTAAATGAATCAGATAAAATGGATGAATAAAACTTGTTATTTTGTCATTTTTATTAAATTTCCTTTTTTAGAAAGTGAATTGACAAGATGCGTTTTTAAAAAAACAATTAAAGAAAATTGTTGATTATACTAAAATATTAAAACAGATTTTTTTATCTTAGAATTAATGCACAATGTAGTCTACTGAAATTTTCGCTGAATGTATCGTTTGATCTAATAAAATCTAATTAAAATATATAAATATGATAGATTTTGGATGGAGTTTGATGTATCAAAAGAATAATTATTATAAATAAAAAAAAACATTTAATAACATTAATTCAACTAAACCTTTTTTAAAAAAGCCATCTAAACTGACTATCACTTGTGTGATTGATTCAATCATTAGCATTAAGAAACAAACAATTTCAGAATTATTGAAATTAATGTCATTACAAAGGTGAAATAAAATAAAATTTTTTAAATATAACTAATTATATGTTTTTAATAAAACAAACATGACTTAGCTATTTAATCATTTCCTTGTATGTGAATGCCTCCATCCATCAAATATTCATGATGGTCATGATTATTATGCAATACATTTGATATCATCATTTACATAACAAACAATTGCATCACCCAGGTAGTAATAACACCAGGGCCATTTAGAAATGAAACTCTTAACAATGCGCGTTTACCTAGATCTCTGAGGTTCACAAGAATAAATAAATAGGGAGAATCACAAAATAAATTATTTTTCCTGATTAATAATTATGGTTCCTCATGAATAATAAATCTGATGTTGATTTCAGGTGTCGGATTTAATTAAAATTTTCCTATCACCAACATGCAATTGCAGTGCAATGCACACCTTGTCCCCATGGAACCTTTTCATTTCCACAAGCAAGGCGATTGAAGGCTTTTATATGGTTGACAAAAACTTTCCATATCCTCCCCTCTCATCGAGCTATATTCCTCCAACCTAGGGTAGGAGGTTATATGGGCAAAGTCCCCATTTAAAAAATATCAAATTCAGTTGGTCAAATAAAAATTAAAGGAACAGAAAATTTGGGAAAATGATTAATTTATACAAAACATACCAAAAAAAAAATCTGAACCATTTTATAACTTTTTTCTTGTTGGCCATATTGCTGACAAAGATATATATAATCATGCGATAATTTTAATCTATAGGACAGGGGACTGATTGGACAAAACCAGACAGTCCCCTACCCAAAATTATAAATTGATTAGTATCAAAGAACAGAAAATTTAGGAAAATAATTATACAAAACAAACTATTTTACAACTTTCCTCTTAATATCAGAGCCCAAATGCAATTTCAGGGTCACCAACCCACTCTGAATTGCAAATTTCCTCCTGTGCTTGAAACGAGTTGCTGGTTCTCTTAATATTCCTTCATAGTTGTGACTTCTTGGACGCAGATCCATCCTTACCCTAGAGGTAGGATCATTGCGGGCAACTTTTCATCAGCCATCTCTGGTCTGGGTGCTGTGAGGGAAGATTAGGTAGGATGTCATTGATGATGATGCAGTTTCAGTAAACTCTAGGACCACGTCCCCCCTGAAAATTTAACAGCATCATTGTATCATCGGGGCACACTAGTCAGATTAGCCTTGTGTACACGAGAAGTGACTGTAAAGTGTTCAAGGTAGCGTGCGTGCTTTAACGTCTGTAAATTTTCAATAATCAAACATCGCATATTCAAATTGGAATTGTTCGGTCATGCTGCCTTGACATCTTGTAATTATGTTAATATTAATATTAATGATTACGAAAAGCAAAATACCAATCGTTTACCATCTTGATAAGAATCCCAATAAGATCTGCTCCGCGTTTTGATTCCAATTAAAATATTTATAAAATAAAGGACACCACATTATATCAATACAAATAAAAATAATATCTCTGGTTAGTTATTAACACTTCTTCTTTAGGAGAACCAAACAACTATACTCGCATTATGTCATTAAAAAATAAATTGATTTCCAAAAAAAAATCGATCGCGTCAACAAAAAAGACTTTTTTTTTGTGCAATCAAAAAAATAGGGGTTCTTGTGCGTGCGTAAATAAAAAAAATTTTTTTCATCAACTATATATTTTTCTTTTCTTTTTTAAAAAAAAAAAAGAATAATAGCAAACAAGACAGAAGAAAAGAAAGCAAATATTCGAAATTCCCGAGCTTGCTGGATAAGTGTTTATCATAAGAGTGGTGGTTATCGTCACTCTAGTTGTTAAAGAAGGGTGGTGATTGCAACTTGTCATCATCTAGAACTGATAAAAAATCATAGTCAGGAAGCCGGTAAACTGGAAAAGGTATATAATTATTATTCTTCTGAAGAAAATAATGTAAAGTTTGTGTTACTCAGAGTCTATGCTTATAACAAAATTAAATTATTCTTCATTGTTAAATACTTTAGGATGATCATGAAGGGCAGGATGAAAATGGGGTAGAAAATGAGGTATTATATTCCAAACAAAAAGCATTGCTTGATAATATACAATGATAAAGAAATAATTATTTTATATGGGATTTTTTTGTCCTTATTTTTTCTTTTAGTTATCAGATTTTTCATCCAAACAATCAGATCAAATAATAAATGCTGATGAAATAGAAGTAAGAAGGCGATTTTTTATAGATTCTAGTTTTGATATTTTACAAACTAATATGTTTTTCATATTGTTTATCTAAAGGGAGATGAAGAAAATGAAGATAATGAAAATGTTGGCAATGAATATCTTGATGACCTTGATAATGGTGATGGAAACATAAAGGTGTAAACATTTATTGATATTTTAGCTTATGAATTTTTGTTAATAAATTTACAAAATATATTAGAAGAGTCTTCTTAGGTTAACTGATTCAAATCAAACAGAGATAAATGTTGCATATAAATCAATGAAAAAAGAAGTTAAATAATGGCAAATATCTTGAAGAAGAATTGTATAAATTGGGTCTTAGGTATACATGAAGTTGAAACTATTTTGACCATTTGCAGATCTGGTTGAAATAGGGTTGAAATAAGGTCAAAACTGATTTTTACTATGTAGTTTCCTCAAGTTGAAACATTTTGACTTTGGGGTTTTGATTTTGACTTCATGTATAGTCTTAGGTTGGATTTTGAACAGTAAGTATTTAAATGAGTAACTCATCCATTATTATTTTGTAATGAAAATATATTAATTGCAGATTTGTATTTTTAGTAGCATTCATTCATTTATAATTGACATTGATGATGAAATAATAATAAAAAATTTTAGTAGAAAGGAACTTGAGGGAATATCTGCTATACCTTGTCCAGCTGTAACAACATTATCAAATGATACTATGAACTATCTATCTAAATTCATTGATAAAGTGATAAGAATTTTCCTATATTCTCATGCAATATAGGTCACTCCCATTATAAGGACACTTGTGGGACAGACAAAAAATGTCCATATAATGAGATTGTTCTTATAACAGGAGTTCATATAAAATTGCATGACTTGAAAAATGATAAAATTTTTTTAGAAATTATTAATTTATTTTAAAATCAACAATTTAGCAAAAGTTTATAATTATAATACTGTAATAATAAAATCTTTTTAACATTTTAATTGACATTTAAAAAAATTATCAAGAGCAAAGGTCATGTATAATTTTTATTGGATTCATAAATTTTATTAGTCAATTTGCATATAAGAGTCCAAACTTGTTTGGATTCTTTAAATTTTTGACTGATTAATTGTTTTTTTAATTTTTGTAGACCATCTAAAATAAATTCTTCCACTATAAACCCTTCTCCTTGTTGTATGTAAATAAGAAGATCCTTGCAACTTTCCAATGCATCTTTGGTTTTAATATGAATGACATCCTCTTCCTCTTCCTCCTCCTCTTCTTCATTTAAAACAACTGCAGCAATTTCCTCTAATTCAGGCATTGCTTCAGTTTCATTATTACTTTCATAATTAACATAATCTCCAGTTGTCAGTGGCTTGTTATAATGTTTATTCATTAAATCTTGTAATTCTGATGCAACACTATCTTCACTATCCTCATAGTCATCTAAATCATCCTCTGGTAAAATACCAACTTTTTTCCAAGGGCAAATAATTGTTTCACTTTTAACATTCTCCCAAGCTTTTGACACAAATTTAATTGCATTATAAATGGTAAGCTTTGAAATAGATTCTTTATTTTCTGTCATATTATAAAGATCATACATCTCAACATGATTTTCACAAAGGAGCTTTCTATAATAGCACTTAAATGACCAAATTATTCCAGCATCAAGAGGCTGTAGGTGAGCTGTGGTGTTAGCAGGAAAAAAATGAAGTTTAACATTTGATAAATCCAGATCTCCTACATATGATGAGGCATTGTCAAGTAACATGATAATTTTTTTATTTTCCTTTTTCATTTGTTCATTGACTTTTTTGATCCAATTTTGAAAAATTGAAGCCTGCATCCAGGCCTTTTTATTCCAGTAATAATATACTGGAAGTTTGGTTTATCAATCCCTTTAAGAGCACGAGGATTTTCATACTTACGAATTAACAATGGTTTAAGTTTTTCACCTTTAGAATTACAAGGCAACATGACAGAAACTCTTTCTTTAGATTGCTTTGTACCAGAGGTTTAACCATGAGCCAAAGTCCTTGATGGTTCAAGTTGCCAGAAAAGTGCAGTCTCATCACAATGTAAATATCACTAGGATCATAATTTTCAAGAATTTCTTGAAGTTCTTCACAATATTGTGGTAATAACTCAATTGGAGCAGATGCTGATTCACCTTGTTTAATTACTGAATAAATATGATATCGATTTTTAAAATGAGAGAGCCATCCATCACTACCTTTAAAATCACTTACATTCATAATTTCAGTTAGTGCATGAGCTTTTGTTTTAAGAATATCTCCTGATTATGCACTACAGTTTGATCAAACCAAAATGCTAGAGCCTCTTCTAACTGTGGCCAATTTGCCAGCCTATTCTTTTTAAATTGTGAAGTTGTAAGAGTTTCATCAATGGAGAGCCATTTATCTGATTCTGATAAAATTCCTGAAACTGTGCTTTGGCCAATTTTAAATTCTGAGCTAAATCATCTTGGGACAAACTGTGATCATCTTTAGCACGTTTACATAATTCTTTTTTTTTGTGAAGCACTTAAAGAATTTCTTTTTCTGGATGAAGATACAGAGGTTGAACTCATTTTAAGGTAATTTAGTTAAGATAAATCATTAATGATTAAATGGTTTAGAAAAAACGTTTTTAAAAAATATGCAAAATTTTTAGTACAAGTATTGGATAATTCATAATTCTTAATAGTCTTGTTTGAAATCATTATCAAAAAAAAAAAACAATTGTAAATAAATTTCTTTATTGTCAAAAATGCAAAATATTTCATCACTATAAATATTTCATCATCATCAAAAAACAATAAGAAGAGATCAATCAAAAACATAAAGATACTTTGTTACAATTCACATTCTTGAAAATAATAGATACTTTGTCACCACCAATACAATTTGCGAATTTGATTATTGTTAATTTTAGTGTTAATAATAATAAACTTGATGTAAGTAATTTGTGTTTAATGTGTTTAGTATTAGTAATATTAAAACATTAAAAACATAAATAATTAGTCATCTAATTTTGTCATAGTGATTTGAGTAATTTGATTGGTTCTCTTGTTGTACTGACATGTCCTTATAACGGATGTCACTATAACGGGATAAATTTTATAATTATTAAAAAATTTTTTCTCCAATTATGTCCTTATAGTCTTATAATGGGATACATAATTAATGTCATTATAATGGGAGTAAATTTATATTTATAAAATGTGTTTTTGAAAGAATGTCACTATAATGGGATTGTCACTATAATGAGCTGTCCTTATAACAGGAGTGACCTGTAGTTTTTGTAAACTCCAGATTTCTTGTGCATACAGCAAAACTCTAACATGGTACCAGCAATATTTATCATGAAAATTGCCAATAATTCCTTCCATCTCAACCCTTTGAATGCCCTCTTGTTTTTGGTCAATTTTTTTGTTGCATCAATAGAGTCTTTAGAAAATCTTGCCAACTTTTTATGGTCACTATATTGCTTGCTTAATAGAGAATCAGGGTGGTCAGTCTCGAGGTAACCAATTTTGACTCTTAATCCTGTTCCTTTAAATGTTGAAATTACTGAATAATCTGCACACTTCCCATATCACCCCTAGTTTCAAAAAAATAATATAAATTATCACCCTTTTTATGTATCAATATAATAGGAAAAAATCAAAATCATCTTACCACACCCCCCATGTATCAACATTCACAGGCAAGCCCTCATTGTTATATTTAGCAAGGGTGCAAGTACCTCACACACATATGAACCTTCATTTATCAAAGGATCCCCTTTTGCTTCATACAACTTCCATTTTGGTGATGACCAGATCTCACTTAAGGCTTTCAATAACTTATTTGTTAGGTCTAGTAATTTTTCCAGTCTCCCAAATTGCACATTGCCAAATTGGCTGGGACATATCAAATATTTTCTACTTGGCTCCTGGAAAATATCACAATACTCTACCAGCATTTTGACAAGAGGCTCTGAATGAACATCTAAAATTCCAGAGCATAGCAGATGATCATATCCAAGATCACTTATCCACAATTTACTCAACTCATTCGCTATATATTCCCACATGATCTTCTCCAATCCTGAAGTATCATTTGCAAGCTTTCTTGTTTCATGCTTCAAAGTATCCAAGTTCTTAATAGCATTGTTCACCCATGGTACTGCATCAACATTCAAGGCATTCAATGTTAATAGAGAGCTAATATCATCAAATGCAGATGAGACCTGTAAGAAAATTAAAATTCGGTTGAAAAATTACTTGTGCTAATAATAAGTACAACAAAACCAGTATATGCAAGATCAGATAGATTTTTTTCATTCATATAAAATTATCAAGAATGCCAGCAAACCAGTATGACCTCGTGGGATCCACATATAGCATTAATATACAGAGCCAGCTACACTATGTGGAGGTAATATTTTATTATTATAATGGTGTAGCCTGTTCACTGGCTAAATTACCACTACAATGTTACAACATCTGTGGTCATTGTGAAAAAATCTAAAGAACATAATCATCATATCCATTTATGTCTTAAATCTTTTAATTATAAATACTTGTAACTTACTCATTGCCTCAAAGGGTTTCCAGCTCCAAAATTGCAGAGTATTGATATCCACTCACTGTCATGTGTAGGAAATTGTTGTAACACATTCTGAAGTATTTCTATAAAGTTTTTCACTTCAAGATTACGATCACCTGTCCATTTGCCTACTTCCACATGTTTATACAAAGTGCCAACAATTGTGATAACAGAGACTGGAGAGAAAGTAACAAAGAAAGCTTCCATTTCAAGTTAAAGTGTTAAAAATTTGAAATTATCAGTATTTAATTCTGTAGTAAGAGTATATAAAACAGTTAGAACTAAAACCACTATAAAAGCAATCAGCACCCATAATTTTGGAATACTGTACTTTTTAAACATTTTCCATCCATCTTTTCCTCTGCATCCAAAGAATAAATAATACAAATAAAGCAATTGTATTTACTCCAAGAATCCCTCTCACAAAGAAAATAGGGTCACACACAAATATTTATCATTACACAACGTTACACAAGATGGTCAAAAAATAAAATATCACTGCGCCGAGTGTTTCATAGCATTACAATAATAAAAATACACGATTCAATTGATTCAATCATTTATTACATATAACAGGAGAGACCATTCCGATAACACAAAATTTTAATCCACGCAATTGTTGATCGACCAATCAAAATCGTTAATTTGATAACGTAAAAATAAACGTTAACATAAAACATTGATCCATTTTGTCAACAATCACTTCACCAACAGTTGTT